TAGACATTTTACTTGCTTTTTTTTTTACTTTGACCATTTTGATTTCAATATGTCCACTGAGTGTTAAATCTTCGAAGAGTTTTTTTTTCCTCATTGTGAGTCTTACATATTGCAACTGTCTGTGTGTGATCACCATTTTGTTTCCATTTTCCTCCGAATTCCTGGTTGTTTGCATGGATCATCTATGTACCGTTTTATCAGCCTTAGAATGGTAAACATTATATTTTATATACTTAATTGTCAGAAATGTGAAGAAGGAGTATTTGTATTTAAGTACGTATGATTCAAGGAAATATATTTGTCAACATTTCTGACATGAGGTATTGTAACTATTTACACTATTTACATTGTTCCGACCGTTGTCTTCCTATTTATTGTCGTTTCGGCTGTTTTACGCTTCGGCCTTCTTCAGGTGATATGCATTGGAATTTCGATTCGAACCCTTTATTTAGTCTATCCCCGTGGGCTAAATGGAAATATATTTGTTGTTTATATGGATATTTTTCAGTCGATATTTCTTCGACATTGCTCACGTGGATATTGTATTCGTATTTTTTTTTCTCATCTCCTTAATGGTTAAGATTTGCTTTGAGTGGGGGAAGTATGTTGGTTCTGACGAAGACCATCCCCCTTAGAACCTTATGTACTGATGCTACAGAATCACAAGTAAAGAATTATGACGAGTAACAGAAACCACCTCACAGGATTTTCTATAGCAGCAGCATCTAAAATGGATGTCGCTTGTAAATTGAATAAAAATTAATGACATGATCAGGATATTGATGTTCCACACTAATTCAAACAAAAGGTTGGAAAGGAAACCGCTAATCAATATTGGAAAAAGTGAGAACAGCTACTAAACTTGAGAACTTATTTTTTTAAGAATAATTTTAAAAGACATATTTTATGAATTTCAACCGATAATATTACAGGAAGTACGGACAAGCAATTTCGAATGTTTCCTTATAAAGAAACGGCAGAAAGCCCCCATCAATACTGGAAAGAGTGATAACAGCTACTGAACTTGAGAAACTTATTATAATAGAAATATTTTATGAATTTCAACCGACAATAGTACAGGTTATTCGGTCAATGAATTTCGAATGTCTTCTTATAAGGAAAGTGCTCAACTTACCATTGCCGTTATCATTAAGAGGACAAATTACTCAATGCATTTTAGGCTTTAAAACTTTCATTCTACTCCTTTCACATTTGAGTCGTATGTTTTTCTTTGACTCAGTTCAGAGACGAGAAGCTAGCCTTTTAACAGTCTCTAAATTTTCATAGGTTGGTTGCGACAGTAGGAACTGTTAAGGCCAAACCAACAAACATCCAAAGATTAAACTCTGCTAATACAAAAGAAAATAACTATTTTTATATATTATATATTTTTCCGGTGTTTAAACGCTGTATGCCACTTCGTATATTTTTCCATTAGGTAGGTATGTAGTTGGAGGTTTCATTCTTCTTCTGAATCGTCGGAATTGCGTAAGACTTGCAAACAACGGAATTTCTGGCGAATTTATATATATATATATATATATATATATATATATATATATATATATATTTATATATATATATATATATATTCATATATATATATATATGTGTGTGTGTGTGTGTGTGCGTGTGTGTGTGTATATGAGTGTGCATGTGTGTGCGCGCACGTGTGTGTGAGCTGACTTTGTGCAACAGTCATTCTTTAATAAATATTTAATTAAAAAGTTAAATTATATTTTATTTATAATTTTAAATTATATTGTCGTGTTATTTTTTGTACGAACCAAATAAATCTTTTATCGACTTATTGTATATAAAAATTGTTCAAGTAGAACTCCCTTCTGAGTACTTTAATCTGGACACTATATATATATATATATATATATATATATATATATATATATATATATATATATATATATGTATGAATAATCTGGACATTTATTTTAATCCTCTCAATTCTCCGATCAACTTCTTAATTTTGACCTTAAATTCATTAAGAGAGTTGCCATAGTTTTTTCTCTTGTTTTATTTTGATTTTGATTTTCCAAATCTCATGTGAGATCATCACAAAACGAAAAGAAAACAAAATTATGGTACCTTCCTTAATGTATTCAATATCAACATTAAGATATCGATCAGAGAATTCGAGAGGATTAAAATAAATAGACATGATATGTCCAGATTATTCAACCATTATACATGAATGAAGATATGTTGCCTGTATATATATATATATATATATATATATATATATATGTGTGTGTGTGTGTGTGTGTGTGTGTGTGTGTGCGTGTATGTGCCTGTGTGCACACGCGTTTGCAGCGTTATTAATATTGGTCGGAAGTCCTTCGAAGAAAGCATAATCAAATTTGGTGTAGTAATTCATGAATTTAATCTGGATTTGAGCCATATTCAATTATTTTAGTAGCGTTATTGCCAGTAGTGTGTCATTTGCTGAGACGTAGACATATTTTTATCACCCGAATACAGCCAGGGTATTTTGTCCATGTTCGTAGTAGATATTGGTAAGAGATAACGTTTTCCTTGTTTTATAAAGTGGATTTCCAATTTATTTTTTACAGTAAGATTTGTATAAATGAGTTTTTGACAAGAATACTGCGTATCGAATTTGGCATGTCTCTAAGTTGATTTAAATTGGGATTTTGAACTATGGTCTAAAACATCCGTCTTGACATATACATAAATATATATATATATATATATATATATATATATATATATATATATATATATATTTCTGAGATGAGGTATTATGTACATTATTTACATTATTCGGACTATTGTCCTCATCTTTTTTTCACACAACGTTTCGGCAATATAATAACAAAGATGAGGACAATAGACAATATATATATATATATATATATATATATATATATATATATATATATATATATATATATATATATATATATCATTTCAATGGTTATTTTTTTAGTGGGTACTCGTATTTGAGTAGACGTTACGTTTATTTATTAAACTGTATACTCATGTCATTTCCTATATTGTCTCTCGAAAATTCAGACCGCGAGACGAAAATAAACAAATATACTTTTTAATAAATAAACGGAGAGTTTACTCAAATACAAGCACCCGCTAAAAATAACGTTTAAATTGAAAAAAATATCTGTCGGAAAAATAATAAAATACATTACTTTTAATACATCTATATTTTTCCATGAAAATAATAAATAAAAACTATAAGCGGCATTAAAAAATTGAAACGAACCCTTAATAAAATTAATTATAAATGCTGCATAAATATTTTAAATTATTTGCAGTATATAGTTTAAAATATCTGTTTTAACTAATAGTTTAAAATATTTGTTTTAATATTTACACATTTCAATAATTTGGTTACCCTCCTTGATGCTCCCACGCGTGTCTCCATGAAAAATTTTTTAAAATTATGGAGTACATAAGCTTAGAGTTTTAAACTTCACAGATGCTAAAATATACATAATATATATATATATATATATATATATATATATATATATATATATATATATATATATATATATATATATATATATATATAAAAATATGGATATAGATCCGACAGTATGAAGAAAAATATATACGGAAAAAACAAACAAAAATCCTTATATACAATTATGCTGCAAATTGTATATACGGATTTTGTTTGTTTTTTCTGTTTATATTTTTCTTCATATATATATATATATATATATATATATATATATATATATATATATATATATATATATATATATATATATATATATATGTGTGTGTGTGTGTGTGTGTGTGTGTGTTATTCGACTCTCCCATTGAATTCGACGTATGATTGTCAAGCAGATCCGTTCTAAGAAACCGACAGCCCGACAACAGCACATGAGATTTGATTATAGTGGTGAAGGCCTCGCGCAGGACCATCTACGCTTTTTGAAGGGCCGAATACAGAGACCTGGTGCACTACGTGCCACAAGGTCCCCTAACGACACACCGCAGGATTTGAATTCAGAGTTTTCTTTCTCCTGGACCAGTTGCCATCCAAGGCTATAGAACCCAGTCTTTTCCTGCTATTTACCCATAGCTGTGTAAATTTATATGGAATCGAATATAAGTAAATGTTATACAAATGAATTTAGAATTTTCTCATTACACATGGGTGCGCTTCTCAAGACAAACATCGAAGACCTCTGCATTTTCACTTGAGTTCGTCTCAGCAGTATTGTGCAGATTTAAGGCGCCGATTTCACAGTAGTTCTTATTTTCTTCTTTTATTTCATTTTCCTTACCAATCTGAAATGTATTTTTTTCTGTTTCTGTTTTTTTTTTTTTTTTTTTTGTCAACTCGAATTTATCTTCCTTCAGAATATTCTTTCTTTCTTTGTGCCCTGATATGTTTACCATTTTCCGCAAATTTTGGCATTCTATTTTTTCTTCCGAACTTTCGTTACTTAATTATTTGTTTCTCTCTCATCTATATTAACTTAATTATTTTCTTTTTTGTTATTAATTTATTATTCATTCTTTTATAAAAAATTATCTTCATTTTTGAAATTAACCTTTACTATTTTTGTCTTCCTTTCATTTTTCTTTTTTTCTTTCTTTTTTTCATGCCTTCATCTTCTATTTCCTTCCCTTACTTCATTATCAATGCTTTCTTTCTTCCATTTTTCTTTCTTTTTTCTTTCTTTCTTAATGTTATTAAACACCTACTTACACGCATGTTTCAATTATCCATTCTTTCTTTCTACCTATCTTTCATGCCATGTTAAATTATCTCGTTCCTTCCCTTCATTAGCAATTCTTTCTTTCTTGCTTTCTCTCTTCCTCTCTTTCTTTCATTCATATATTGTTAAATTTTCACTTTCATCTCCTTACTTCATCATCTCTTCTATTTTTTTTTAACTTTGTTACATCACTTCTTTATTCATCTTGTTTCATTATACATTTTTTCTTTCTTTCTTTCTAATTTTTCTTTCTTTCTTTTTTGTTACATCATGTCCTTTCTTCCCTATCGTCATTATCCATTCTTTCTTTCTTTCTTTCTTTCTTTTTTAACTTTTCTACATCACTTCTTTATTTCCCTTGTTTCATCATCCACTCTTCCTTCCCCCTACATTCCTTGCTTTCTTTCTTACACTACTTTTTTCTTTTATTTCATTATCCCTTCTTTCTTTCTTTCATTCTTTCATCATTTCTTTCTTTCTTTTTTCTTTCTTTCATTCTTTCATCTTTTCTTTCTTTCTTTCTTTCATTCTTTCTTTCTTTCTTTCTTTCGTTCGTTCGTTCTTTCATCTTTTCTTTCTTTCGTTCTTTATTTCTTTCATCTTTTCTTTCTTCCTTTCTTTCTTTCTTTCTTTCGTTCTTTTCTTTCTTTCTTTTTTTTCTTTTCTTCTCTTTCTTTCTTTCTTTCGTTCGTTCTTCCTTCCTTCCTTCCTTCCTTTCTTTCTTTCTTTCTTTCTTTCTTAAAACACATCATTTTCCTTTTATTGTCCTTTATTCTATTCTTTCTTTTTATACTTTTCACTTTGGTTTTCGTTTTCCTTCCCGATTTCATTACTTTTATTTCAGCTTGTGTTTTTTTTTTTTTTATCTTTAAGAAAGTCTCTTTTTCGCACTTGTCCGGTTTCCTTTTCCTCTTCAGTTTCACGTTTTTTCTTGCGTTCTCCCTTTCTCATTCAATACCTGGATTTCATTTCCTTGCTTTTCGCTTTCTGTTTCCAATCAACTCTCTCCCAGTTCATTATTTTTATTTTTATTTTTTGAATCTCTCATAATTTTATCTCAAATCATTTTCGTCTTGCTTACTTCTGTCTTTTACCTTCTTACCTAACCTGTCATTTTTTTCTCTCTTACTCGCTCACACACTCACACCATATCCCTCAACATTTGAACAGGTTCTTCCTCATCCCGTAAAAACAGAACGCGGTCTCTTGCAAATTCTGTCCACACAAATTGAGACTCTGAATACGAAATGAATCCCCCGTTCAGATGCGCGTGTCATGCGTGATCGCTCGAGTGGAAAGTGGTGCGCATCTTGCTCGTTGACCATGCATATCACGACTATTTGGCCCACCGTGTTTCGCAAAGGCTCAAGGCTGGGCGGGATACAAACAATCAGGACTCCTTCGTAAGTCCAGCTGTGAGGACGGCCAGCCTCTGGCATACAGACAGGCAGCCGAAGCCGAGAAAAATCGACTGGGAAAGAAATGAGGCGAATAGCATATCAGATCTTCTTCGAAATACGTTGCGCAAAGCTGGCAGCAACAGTGCTGTGGTGTTTTCCTTCCTGTCACTGTCGACACACGTGACTGCACTGGCACACAACCACACGCATAAACACATCAACAAAAGCGCATTTAAACACATTTAAAGAATGCTATGCATGTTTAAACAAATTTTTATATTTAATTTCTACATTAGTTTGATGTCTTCAATATATATATATATATAAAGTAGATACTGAGGTCAATATCGATGGACGACAATCTCTTTCATGCTTGAACGCAATCTTTAGGCCACCATTAAATACATTTATAATCTTATACACACATTCGAGTGTCATATATATATATATATATATATATATATATATATATATGACACTCGAATGTATGTATAATACATGTTTTGTCAGGAGAGAAAGGGATTCACTGAGAAGAAAATACACCGAGACTGCGGTAATCTCAAGATTCCCGACAATAAAACTAAGACATGATCATACACAGCATAAACGATCGTCACTAACGCAATATTATCACAATGCTGTATACGTGCTAATAGAGAAAAAACAGAGATCTATTTAACGTGGCCGGATTTAAATCGAACAGACAACAACACCACTATTTTACACATACAGAGACACAGACGTACACACAGACACACACATATATATATTATGGCCATTGCTTGTCGAATCTGATAAGGTGATTTAATTTATTGACCCTCTTAATATAAAAAGACCTAAGGTATCTACTTATACATAGTTTTGTCACTCATTCCAAACTAAAATTCGAATCAGACACACAAATATTTTCCACGCTTAAATATGCATATCTACTCATATGAATGTGCCCATATATTCACATAATAATAATGCAGTTAAAATTCTCGATATCGAGCTCTGTAATATAAAAATTTGACACTGACGGCAACACCGATTGTTTGAAACACACCGTCGCCATTCGGCCTTGACTAAACTTGCACTGCATACAAAGGAGAGGCGACGCTGAGAATTCTAAAATTAAAAGTAGTTTTTTAATGTATATATTAATTATATAGTCTGGCCGTTTTCAATTAGTTAATTTTTCTTTTTGTTCATGTTTTTCCCATATATATATATATATATATATATATATATATATATATATATATAACGATATACAATTTTATGTAACAACAAATAGTATTTTGACAAATATGACAAAATAGAAACGTTTATTTGTGACGCGTTTCATCCGTTAGGCTTTCATCGGAGTGGGCTTTGCTGACGTTGCCACGGGAGACGCAGGTACTTTCAAATTTATTTTAAAGAATATTTATGAAACAAAAATTAATCTCATTAAAGTATTAGTTTAATTAAACAAGTCGTGAATAGAATTCACATACGAAATAGGAAAAAGCAATTCTTTCTTAGACATCATCTTACACCGGGTTGACAACAGCCTAGAACTTAGTGTTCACCGAAAATAGACCAATAAAAATGACAATAAGCTTCTATTCCCATCATAAGAACAAAATAAAATCTGGAATGATCATTGGTAAAATTCGGGTTCCACCCGAGACGAAAAATTCGTCTCGGATTGTACCTGAATTTTACCAAAAACAATATAATCTCTATGCCTGATGATGACTGGACGTACCGTCGAGAGTACTTACATATTTAAGGAAGACCTAAAGCAGTCGATAGTTTTAAACAACAAGGATCATAACATTTATCGAGTGATTAGTAGGTTAAAGGCTTTTTTTTAAACTTTAGTTATCGAAGGGATTTCGCGATTTTATATTATTCAATTTACTAATTTACTTTTTGTATGATTGATTTATTGTAATATAAATTGATCTGCACCACACACACATACACACACACACACACACACACATATATATATATATATATATATATATATATATATTTTATTATATTATATTATATTATATGTAATTAATATTATTATATAATATATAATAATTAATAATTTATTTATTTATACTGGGACTCAAGCATGCAATTGCATGTAATCCATAATAATATTTTAGATTTTGAAATCATATTTATTTTTGACATATGAATTTTTTGAAACATTTTCTAAATCATTGATTGCATTTTAATCATTCTGCCTCGCATGTTATCCTCTTCCGCCGCACCTATGAGGCACCCAGCACAGTTTGGAAACAACTGACCTAGGAGAAGGAAAACTCTGAATATAAACACGTATTACCGTGTATGTTTTCCTTGGTTGGGAAAAACTAAGAGAATGCAATTCTAATGTAAAATTCTCTGGTATGGTTAAGCTTGATATATTTTATCACCTTGTTTTGGGATTACTTGACTTTGTTAGGGAGATTCTTTGCAATGTTGCGCAAGTTATATAGGACTAAAATTTTGCAGGTGCTTTTCTAATATGGGCAACTTTAATTTTAGAAATACTCATTCTCACATTAACGCGTCAACAGCCGTAATATTTATTATTATTACAGGTAACGAACACAATATAGAAATTAATTTTTTTTTTTATATGGATTTCTAAAATGTTGAAATATATTACAAATAAAAGTAGAGATTTGGAGTTGTTATGGTGTCCTATCTACATTAGAATGAGCCCTACCTCTTCCATGAATACTAACTTGCGAGACTTCCTTGGTGAGGCAGTCGGAACGCGGTGTAACCTGATAGTTCGTACAGACAATTCTATCTGCTAATAACACTCTTATTTTGCATATATGTTCTGTTATTTCAATAGACTTGTTCAACCTACTTTCTTCTTTACATGTCTTTCTTTTTAGCCGCTAACAGGCCAAAACAGGAATAAGCAGAATTATTGCCTTACTTTTAACGAAAATATTAAATCAATTCAAGGGTGGTTTCCGTTTTGGGCAGCCACATGTAATGGCGAAAGTATTATCCTAACTGAAAAAGTAACGTTCCTTAATATATTATCACATGTGATGAAAAGTTGGTTTCATAAAACAATGTTCGACTCAAAAAGAAATGGATTGACAAGAATAAATCCTCAGAACCGGCCCTAATTGCTGAACCATATGGAAGAAATATAATATTATGTGTGTGATATGGTCTTCAAGGTATTATTCATTAAAAGTTCTTACAGCGCTGGAGCACAGATATAACCCAGATGATGTAATTTGTCCTTAGTTGATTTGTTTAATTTTTTTTTTTTCACGATGAAAACTTAAGACCACATACAGTAAGGATAACATAAAGAACATTTGTGGAACTCGGTTGGTTTGTTCTACTCTCGCCGCTTATATTTAGCTAACCTTGCACCAACATATTATTGCAGTTTTCGATAGTTCATCGGATAAACTTTCTCTAATGAGAATAAGTGAAGAATTCGTTAGCTCAAAACCTGTGGAAGTTAAAAAAATATATATATCTATAAACTGCTTGAGTAGTCGCAAGTAAATCATTCCGTATTATGGTGAATATATAATGGAATAAAGTGTAATTGTACATTATATTTTGAAAAAAAAAAACAGATTGATAATCAGAGTGATATTATTTACGTATCAAGCTAATACATATTTTACAGATTGGGTTGTTGCTTAGACCGAACGCGCAACAATGTTGTACAGAATTTGAAAAACATGCACTTCAAAACTATTTTTAAATAACATTTATTATCAAATATCTAAGTTTTCTTAAAATAGATGAATGCTAATCGCAGAATATGTTCGCCTGTGGTTATAAGAGAAAAGATATTGGTTTAAAAGAAGAGAAGAAAAACTGAAAACACACTAACAAGAATAAACTTTGGTATGAATGATAGAAACCTTTTTTTTATGGCCGTACGCAGCAGCAAGGGAGGAAAGTGATGCATCATGGGAAGTATTCTCACGTAGAAACGCGAACTAAGACGTTAGTTGCGGCCCTAATGAGGGGAATAAGGAAAAATTAATGAAGCAAAAATAGTGTTGATATGGGTGAAATATGGAGCGTGGGCCTGGGAAACAAAAGCATCTATTGTCGTATAGTTGTTTGGGCCTGGTCGGGGCCAGTTGGTCCCAGGAGCAGAGGGAAAGGTTGTTTAGATAAGCCCTGGAGTTAAGGTCCAGTATTATCGGGATATTTCTAGCGTGTGAAAAACTGTCGGTGGATGAGAGGGATTAGAGACAAACAAACAAGTGAATATGAAGAGGAAAAACGAAAGTGGAATGAAAGAATGAATTGGTAAAAGACAACTGGGAGGAAGAGGCGGGAAATGATATCAATAAGTGGGTGGCTGGGACAACAAATAATGAGGATGACAAACAGTGTCGAAACTGAATCAATTGACTAGGAAATGATGTCAATAGAAAAAAAATGAAGAGCTCCCATAAAGACGATGGTAAGAGGTATCTTAAAAATGCCTTGGTTTCAGGCAAATTTGCACTTTCTGCAACAAATACAATATTTCGTCCATTACTTTTACTCGTAAAAATTAACACCACCATTTCAGTAAATCAACAAAAATTAACAGATGAGGACGTATATTCGCACTTACCTACATACTGTATTCGAAGAGCTAAGTATATTTTTTGAAAAGCAATTCAGAAAAGG